TGGCAAACATTGGCCCTCCAGGTGTTTTGGAGTTCAACTCCTATAATTCCCAACAGTTTGCCCATGCCTGGCCTTGACTCTAGACCACAGGTTCTCAAAATATGCTCCACGGAGCTCTTGGGGGCTCCGTGCTTTCCTCCTCCTCTCTCCCCATCCAAGCTGCCCCTCCTCTTTCCTCCTCCACCTCCTCACCAACAAAAGTCTTTCCTACACCCCCCACTTGCCAGCAACAGTCTTTTTTCCTCGCCTTGATCACTGCTCAGATCCTTTCACTCACCTTCCTTGCTTTCCCTTCCACAGCTCATGGGGTGCTTTGATTGGATGGGTTTTTTGCTCTTCTTCTTCTTCTTCTTCTTATTATTATTATTATTACTACTACTACTACTACTACTACTACTACTACTACAAATGCTGGGTGGCTGTCTGTTGGAGATCCTTTTATTGTACTTTTTCTGCATGGCAGAATGGGGTTGGACTGGATGGCCCCTGGGGTCTTCCACTGAAATACTGTTAAGTTCATGTTTGTTAAAATTGTTCTTAATTTTAAATATTGCATTTTTCCTTCTTTCCTTTTTTTTTTTTGCACTACAAACAAGAAATGTGTAGTGTGCATAGGAATTTGCTCAAGTTTATTTTCAATTAGTTCACACAAACACTCTCCATCCATCTGCCACTGGCCTGTCTTTCAAATTTTAAAACACAATGAGTCAAAAAGGTGTGTGCGTGTATATATACACACACACACACATAAACATTTTACTTTTACTTTAAAAAGGCTAACAGGGTTTGAAAACCCCTGCCCTAGACTGAAGGAATAGTACTGCCCTCAATCATAAAAATGAGGTTTCTGGAGTACAACAACTACTTTCAAAGTAAGAACTGCACAATTAAACAGGAAATAACATTTTCAAACCAGTAACATCGGGTTTTTTTTTCCAAATTTTGTTATATAGTGTAATCACAGAACAATGGTTGCAAAGCAGCCTAATTTCTTCACATAACACATAATTAACTGCTGCAAAAGCTGGCAGCAATGTGCACTAAGTTAAGAATCTGTCTTTAAAAGATCACGCATTTATAGAAGATGTCTATTAGCAGCTATGATCCATCACAGTTTAACAGAGTGTCCGATGTTTGGAGGCAATAGACCTCTAAATGCTAGATTGCAAGGAAAATGGCATGGCTGTCACTCTTATGACAGATTTGCAAAAGCATCTGACTGATCCAACCAAAGAATTACTTCCCAGTCCTTTCCCTTTTTGCTCTTCCACCCAAATGAAAGAATCCACATTTTCTCCTTTTACCAGTATGCTTGTCTTGCTCATCAGAGCTCAGAAAAGTTTCTGGTCTACAAGTTCTGCTTCTTCACTATTTTTAACCCACACCACTTATGCTCCTGGTGTACTACTTATTTCAGAATCAACTGCCTGATGTCTCCTCTTCTGTCTTTCACTCTTTCCCTTCAGCCTGTCTTCTTCCCTTCATGCAGAAGAACCAGTGCATGCTTCTTAATTTGGGAAGTTGCTGTCCAGTAAGCAGCCACCCATCCTTGCCCGGACAGCCACCTTGTCTCCATCAGCATCATGGTAATGGCTCAACCAAGCCTTAACATTGCTCTTTATCAAACTGTTTGATGATAACATATTGGCAAAGATTTCAGTTCAGAGCCTCATAAATTACCATCTTTCTTTTTGCATGCATGCACATTGATCTGTAGGGATTCTCTCTGCTCAAATGATAGAACTTGGAAAAGAAATTTGCTATGTTCACTTTTTTTTAAAGAATGCCATTGGTAAGTTCTGCAAAATGGTGATCATCACATGCCACTAAGCTTCCACTAGTACATTTACATGCAGTTTTTTTTAAAAAAAATTGCAGGTCATTCCTACTAGTTTTCTTATTTTGGAAATTTCCCCCCTCAGTGTGGAAATTGGTTGGGTGAGATTCAACAAAGACAATAGAGAAGCAAGCATTCTGCTCTCCCCATTTCATGCATTTACAATTGTATGGGGGGTGAACTCCTCAGCAGGCCTACAGAAGATGAAAGGAAAGAAATCAGTTACATGTAGACTTATGCTATTCCTGTGTGGTTGACCTTTTATTGTAAGGAATTTCAAGGAACAGTCCCTGAAGACAGAACTTCAAGCAATGGAATGGATGTAAAGCAGTACTACTCAAGAAAGGACGGATGGAAAAAACATCAGAGAGTTGAAGGCAATGAAGACTTGTATGGTGTTGACAGAAGAAGTGGGTGTGAGGAGACAAAAGACTACTGGACAATAGCTATAATATGCTGATTTTGGTCTTCTGTACAATTTGTGAAAGTTTTTTTTCACTGTAATCAGAGCTAAAACAAACAAAATATCTTGATCATACCTTTAAGTTACACATATGAAATTTTATTTATAACATTAACAGGTGTTAACAGATGTCCAGTCTTTTACAACTCTTCATTTTTTATACTAAGCTATTATCAATTCCTTGTTGAGTCCAGAAATAAATATACCTATGTATTTATTGGCCACATAATATCTTTGAAATTCTGAGGACAAATAGCATATACTGGGAAGACTGAGTGCATCACATGTGTTTAATACACAGGTGAAGACATTTGGGGTATAAATCTTTCTAATTTGGTCATCTCATATAACAACAAACAATTTTAAAGTTTTCCTGCCCACTATATGAGAAGAGATTTTATGCATTAAAAATTATTACACACATATTGGGACTCTGATGAAAAAAACTATTTTTTCCAAGCTTTTCTGCACTATCCATTTTTTAGCAAATGACATTTTTACAAAGAAAATCTACAAATGTGAAAAATCTTACAATGTTGACCATTCTTTCTTGCTGTGCTGAGACACATTCTTTCTCACTAAAAACAAGAAAACCTGTTTTTCAAATCTATAGAAGTCATACATCTTCTGACTAACACTTCCAACAGCAAACAGCAACAACAACAACTTTATTTGTATTCTGCTCTATCTCCCCAAGGGGACTCAGAGCAGATTCCAACATAACAATGGCCTACATAAAACATACAATACTAACATAAAATCCCAGAAAAACCCCATATATGAAAGTAACACTAAAACCAAACATCAAATTAAAGCCTATTATCGGTAAATTAAACCTAAGATTAATACATTAAACTACATGTAGTTGGACAAAATTCTATAATAACTTAAATAGAAATAAAACATCCACATTAGTGTACAAATGCCAGCAAGGGTTCACAAAATGGTGTGGGTTGGTTATGTAGTCAAATGAGGTCATTGGGTGGTGTGGACCAGGAAAGCCCAAATACAAATAGTTCTCAACCAGAGGCCCAGCAGTGATTTCTCAACCATCTAATCCTCCTCCTCTCCATATGCTAGTGAGCAAAAGTAGGTCTTCAGTTGTTTTTAATGGAGAGGAGGGAGGGGGGTCAGCTTTATTTCTTTAGGGAAGGAGTTCGATAGTTGGTGGGTGACCATGGAGAAGGCTCTCTCTCTTGTTCCCACCAGACATGCTTGGGATGGGGGTGGGACCAAGGGCAAGGCCTCCTCCAAAGACCGCAGTGCCCAGGCTGATTTGTAAGAGGAGATGCGATTGGTCAAGTAGCCTAGATCTGGGCCGGTTAAGGCTTTATAGGTAATGACCAACACTTTGCATTTAGCCTGAAAGCAGACTGACAGCTAGTGGAGCTGCCACAACATGGGGGCGGATCTCTCCATATACGGAGCTCCTGTTAGCAATCTGGATACCAATCTCTTAACTAGTTGAAGCTTCTGAACTATATTCAAAGGCAGCCCTCACTTAGCAAGCTTAGAGTTCAAGCGGGATGTGACTAAGGCATGGACTACCATAGCCAGATCTAGCGTCTCACAGTATGGGCACAGCTGTCACACAAGTTTTAATTGTGTAAAGGTGCTCCTGGCCACCACCAACACGTGGGATTCCAGGGTCAGCTATGAATCCAGGAGCACCCTCAGACTGAAAACCTTTGTCTTCAGATGGTGACCCCATCCAACACAGGCTGTAACTCCACACCTTGATCCACCTTCCAACTGACCAGGAGTACTGCTGTCTTGTCTGGATGTAATTTCAACTTATTAGGCCTCTTAAAGTCCATCACAACTGACAGGAACTGGTTTAGGGGCAGGACAGCATTAGGTTGAAAGTAGTAGTATAGTTGGGTGTCATCCACATAAACTTGACACCTCATTCCAAAACTCTGGATGATCCCTCCCAGCGATTTCATTTAAATGTTGAACAGCATGGGGGACATAATTGAACCCTGAGGGACCAACAGGCTGCCAGCCAGGAAGTCAAACAGGAGCCCCCAGCACCACCTTCTAGGTTCGACTCTCCAGGAAGGATCGGAGCCAATGTAAGACAGTGCTTAACAGTGTTTAACTATTCCTTCCAGAATTATCTAACATTCAATGTGTAGAAAAGAGTATAAAAATAAAAGGCTGATATATTCTAGTACTCCCTTAAAACTTATTCTAAATATGATGATCCAGGGCATCCTTTAAGACAATTAATTTTGATCCAATGCATTAAATTGCCAGTGTCAAAGTCTTCATGTTAGCCATTTCATCACTCCTAAAAAGTTAGCACCACAGGAACAGTGTGGACATTTCCTGGTAATGTCTTCCTCCCATATATTCTCTTTTCACCACAGCAAGTTTCCGTAGCAACCACTAATGCGTACCCTACCTGGGATCAAGCAATTGCCTCTCCTTCATTCTCACCAATGACTCTGCAGGTCAAATTATGCTTCTTTTTCAGCATGGATTGTCAGGAAGATTTTTATCACACCTGAGCTAAAGATGCAAGTTGTCCTTTATCAGGTGTTCTCCACTGACAGCCATACCTTGCACCTAACTACTTCATTTGCACATAAATAAGCCTGCCTGTGTGAGGTTAGAAGCTGTTTGGGACAATTTGTCCTTGTAAGTGTCATACTCAAACACATCCAGCCAGAAGGATAACAAAGCTGTTTTACTTACGGTTGGCACAGCTTGATAAGATCCTGGTCAGTGGTTCCGGGTGGAAGGCCTCGGATGTACAGGTTGGTTTTACTCAACTGTTCGCCACTGCTGTTGTTGCTGTTGTTGTTGCTACTATTCGTGCTGGGGCTGGGTGGAGCCATGGGGTGAGGAGCTGGTGCATAGGAATGCTGAAAATAAGAAAGATGGTTATTGGATAAAAAAAAATACCATCAGTAGCGTAGTGGTAACTGAATGTTCTCTGGCAGCCATGATTTATACTTAATGCTACATAAGCTTTTACCATGATCAATCAAGTGGAAGACATCTCCACCTTGAAGCAGAATTAATTTACAGTAAGACTTCTGTATACAAGCAGAAGGGAGAGTAAGAGGTTCTCAGTTGAACCATGGCTATATGAAACTGCAGATATTACCAAACACCATTAAATTATCTTACTTCTTCTCGCAGTGTACCATAGCGTTGGTTGGAAGACCAAGGGATTCCCAGAATCACATGGAAATCCCAGAAATCTACTAGAGGGACCATTATCTTTCCAGTAGCAGGTATGTGAAATTGCAGATATGGATCTCACAGTTATGGAGATCTTACTGTATACATTAGTAAAGTATAGTAAGACTCTCAGCAAGTAAAATTTAGGCATTATTGACTACTGTATATAAGATGACTGGGCGTATAAGACAACCCCCCAACTTTTCCAGTTAAAATATAGAGTTTGGAATATACTCGCTGTATAAGACCACCCCTCTTCCAATGCACACCAAATAACATTTTTTAAAAAATCAGATTTGAATTCAATATGGTAATTTTAATTCAAATGCTTATGACATGCAGGTTCCTATGAGAGGGACATTGTACCTTATATTGTACATTACAGTTGCTCTTCCTCCCTTGAATTTCATTTACACTCTGGGTCCTTTACATCATGCTGGCAATCAGTTAAAATAAACAGTTGCATTAAATTATCATTTACAACAATTAAAAAACCAGCTGTGGCATTGGCCTTTTCAGCTGCAGCATCACACTATTGGCTCGTGGTCGACAAAGATTCCTTTCATAGAATCCTAAAGTTGGGAGGGACCTCTAAAGGCCATTCAGTCAAACCCCCTTGATTCTGCCTTCTTTCAGGGAAAGCACAACCAAAGCACCTCTGACAGATGGCCATCCAGACTTACTACTACTACTACTACTAATAATAATAATAATAATAATAGAGTTGGAAGGGGGCTTTAAAGACCATCTAGTCAAACCCCCTTCATTCAGCCTTTATGTAGGGAAAGCACAACCAAAGCATCCCTGACAGATGGCCATCCAGATTTAATACTATTACTAATAATAATAATAATAATAATAATAATAATAATAATAATAGAAGTGGAAGGGGCTCTAAAGGCCATCTAGCTCAACCCCCCCTTCTGTCTTAATGTAACAAAAGCACAAAGTATGGTACCTCCTGGGCCTGGAAGTCAGTCAGTCAGTCAGTCAGTCTTCCCTCCTTCCTGGGCCCAACTGGGGCCAACGGAGTGTCTGGCCCCTCGCCTTGCTGCTCCTGGAGGCCAGTCAATCTCATTCAAAGCCTTGCCGGGAGCAGCAGGGGAAGGAGGGCGTGCTCATCATCTGCGGAGGCCAGTGCAAGCCTCGGCAGCCAGTGCTGGCCTGCGCAGCCCTGGAAGTCAGACAGACAGGCTGCTGCGAGGGGAGATTCTCCTCTGCTGCCTCGGTTGCATCGTCCGCTCGCTGCTTTCACAGTGCAGGCTTCTGCAGGCCTGCGCTGGCCTGCAGAGGCCCATGCTGGCATAAGCAGCAAGCAGAGGACACAGCCGAGGCAGCGGAGGAGAATCTCCTCTCGCAGCAGCCTGCTTACCTGACTTCCACAGGCCAGCACTAGCTGCCGAGGCTTGCACTGGCCTCCGCAGCTGATGAGCACGCCCTCCCTCCCCTGCTGCTCCCGGTGAGGCTTTGAATGAGATCGACTGGCCTCCAGGAACAGCAAGGCAAGGGGGAAGACACTCCGTTGGCCCCAATTGGGCCCAGGATGGAGGGAGGCAGCGTGAAGAAGGCTGCCCTCTGGACTCCTTCCTCGCGCTGCCTCTTTCCTCGCTGGACCACCAACTGGGGCCCAACGGACCGTCTGGCCTCTCGCCGCACTGCTCCTGGAGGCCAGAGTCAATCTCATTCGAAGCCTCGCCGGGAGCAGCAGGGGCGAGCATGCTCACTCCGCTGCGGAGGTCAGCGCAGGCCTCGGCAGCCAGTGCTGGCCTGCGCAGCCCTGAAAGTCAGGCAAGCAGGCTGCTGCGAGAGGAGATTCTCCTCCGCTGCCTCAGCTGCATTGTCTGCTCGCCAAAGGCAACTATACTGGAAGCGGCAGCAGGAGCACTCGCCAGCCACTTCACGTGGCTGAAGGCTGGAAATGGAGGGCCAAGGTGGTCTTGCCAGAAGCAGTAGCGGGTGCGCTGGCAAGCCACTTCACCTGAAGATGAAGTCAAGGCTCGCCTGCAGGCTCCGCTGCCGCTGTCATACATCATCGTCCTCTGATATCCGGAAGACAAGACGACCCCCAACTTTTCAAAGGGTTTTCAAGGTTTAAAAAGTCGTCTTGTAGCTCGGTTTTTACGATATTTTAAAAAACAAGAAGTCTGCTGAATACATAACCTGCCTTGAAAATTTCAATATGCAACACAGACAGGCTATATATAATTCATCAAAAATATCTGATGTTTTCATTGAAGCCAACACTATAGATTTTAAGATAAATATGTATGTATAAGAAAAGGTGGTTATATTTCTGTGGAAAAAGACATGCTTTGGATGCAAAAGGTTTCATGCCCAGTACCTGGCATCTACAGTTAAAGAGAATCACACAGGAGATTATAATTATTCAATAATTGAATCTCAATTATATGAATTTCTATCCCTCTACAAGTTCAGGCACTATAGATTTGTAAATATGTCCCATGTTATACAGGTAGTAACATCAAAAGAAAAAAAATCATTCCAACAAAACACATTCTATAACTGAGTAAAATTCTTCCTCTTTCAGTGCTCAATGTGAAAGACAGGGAGTGAAAACAATCAATTAGGTTTATTGTCTAGACTAGACCTGTCAAAACAACTGCTATAGAAATTACAAAGTTGAAGAAAACAACATGACAAAACCAGCATTATTCTTTGTAATGGTAACCATCAAAAACTCACTGCTATTAGTAAATTTCAGTGTTAGGAAGCAGTGGCTACACAGATAAAATACAAAAGATAGCATTATTCAACTAATGGATACACAATGACTAGTGGAAGCAGCATGCAAGCAATACAATCAAACATCCAGTCTAATGAAATCATAATGAATTACTCAACAAGCCATGAAAAATCTAGTGTATCTATTTGGGAAGTCGTTGTGGAATGACCTGTCAAATGACACACACAATGGAGTATGAATAGAATGTGACACTTGAACAAATATAAAAGGGGGGGGGGGGTTTCCATTAGCAGAACCCGTATAACTGTACAGTTGGATATAATGTAACTCAGAAGCCACACACAGACTAATCCCCCACTATTGTGACTCCCACAATTACACCTTCCCATAGCCATGTTTTACAGAAAAGGCCCCCTGGACACCTGAAGATCTTCAATTCCCATATCATTAATGTATCCTCTCTAAGTGCTGCAGGGTGACCCAAAATATATATTCATCCTTTAAATGGCAATAGAAGCTCTGGTGACTATTTGAAGGCTAAGTTAATTAATTTTTCTTGAAAAAGAAATGTTCTAATAAAGATTTACTCACAGATCTAGATTATCCCCTTGCAACTGATATATTTTTTTTTAAAAAAAAGGAGAGTCCACTTGAACATTAGGAAGAGCTTCCTCACTGTGAGAGCTATTCTGCAATGGAACTCTCCCCCAAGAGAATGGTGGAGGCTCCTTCTTTGGAGTCTTTTCAACAGAAGCTGGGTGGCCATCTTCTTGGCGGGGATTGGACTGGATGGCCAATGAGGTCTTTTTCAACTCTATGATTCTATGATACCTTCTTTGAATATGGTATCTAACTCAGATCACTTATCACCCGTTTTGACAAACAAACAGCAATCTTGGCTTGATCAGTTTATACCAACAATCTTTTGAAGAACTCAAAGCACTTGAGAATTAGATGACAGTTTGAGTTGTGTTGTTGTTTTTTTGTGAACAGAAATGGAATGCTTTGGTAACAAATTCATGAAGGAGAGAGACCTGATTGGAATGGAATTCTCCCCACACCCCTCCTTATATTCAATTACATACCATTGCAATGTAGTGCAAAAACACAACTTGTAGTCGCCAGATTTTCATGATATACGTGGATATACTGAAATGCTAGCATGGTTTTCTGAATTCACTGGGAACTCCTCTCTGGCAAGTATAATGGATGTATGATCCTGGTCTGTTATTCACTAGTTTGAGTAGACATTAAGAGTCTTTAAGGTGCCATATTTTTCATATACTAGTGCAATGCTGCCACAAATCAATCAGATTGTTACGATTATTCAGTCTAAAACACTGTTCTGGATCCAAGTTCTTCTGATGGAACTGCTTTCAACAGGAGAGGAGATCTACACATCAAGAACTGCTTCTAAGGAACTACAGGAAGGTGTGAAAGAATATGGGTAGGAAGAAGCCTCACAATGCCTATGGATGTTCACCAGCATAATTTTAGATATAGGACATTTACTGGTGAAAATAAAGTCTGGTATGTGACAACTGCAGTCCAGAATATCTATTCTGAATGCAACAGCAAAAGGATTTGACACTATCTGGATATATTACTTCTACAAGAATGGAAGCATGCTTCTGTAATAGTCCCTCCCTCTAAAATCAAGGCAGATTAAGTATTTAATACTTGAAGTTCACCATTCAAAAAGGTTAAATAAAAATGAGCTGTCTTTCAGATTGTTCTGAATGACTCATTAATTCAGTTCACCTAGTTAATAGGATTTGTTTTCATCTCTGGGAAAACAATGAATGAAACATTTTAAATAACAAGCAGTTAAGAAAAGCATCCGGTTGGATTTATATCTGCCTGCTGACATCCACACAGATGATACGATGGTGAAACTGAAGGAGGGCTATTCCATTTGAGCAGTCTAGGTAAATAAACTGGCCAATGAGCAGAAGTAATGAGATACATTAGCTT